TATATTTGACTTTATCTTTAAAAAATCGACATTTGTGAATAAAAAATAAATAAAATGAATAAATGATGAAAAATACAAAATTCCTTCTTTTATCTTCTTTTAATAAACTAGATTTTATTTTTTTTTTTTTGGTTCAAGGTCAAAATAAAAGTGAAATATTTTCTGTTTTCTGGTGTTTTTTTTGTGTCCAGCAGGTGGCGCCAGAGCAGCGTCACGCGCACAAACACCACGGAATTTTAATTTCAAACATTTTAAAGTGAAATTTCAATGTTGAATAAAAATAAAAAAAACTATTTAACTACTATTTTAAAGCGCAGATAAATAAAATAAAAATAAACATGATTCAGAGTTTATGTAAGAACCACTAACTTTCACTTCCACTGAAACCGAAACAAACACTCGGCCCAGACCCAAGACCCAAGACCAGACCCAAGACCCAAGACCCAAGACCCAAGACCAGACCCAAGACCCAAGACCCAAGACCCCAAGACCCAAGACCCAAGACCCAAGACCCAAGACCCAAGACCCAAGACCCAAGACCCAAGACCAGACCCAAGACCCAAGACCAAGACCCCCAAGACCAGACCCAAGACCAAGACCAGACCCAAGACCCCCAAGACCCAAGACCCAAGACCCAAGACCCCCCAAGACCCAAGACCCCCAGACCCAAGACCCAAGACCCAAGAAGACCAGACCCAAGACCAGACCCAAGACCAGACAAGACCAAGACCCAAGACCAGACCCAAGACCAAGACCCAAGACCAGAGACCCAAGACCCAAGACCCAAGACCCAAGACCCAAGACCAAGACCCAGACCCAAGACCCAAGACCCAAGACCCAAGACCAGAGACCAAGACCAGACCAAGACCCAAGACCCCCCAAGACCCAAGACCCAAGACCAGACCCAAGACCAGACCAAGACCCGACCAGACCCGAGACCCGACCAGACCCAAGACCCAAGACCAACCCAAGACCCAAGAGACCAGACCAAAGACCCAAGACCAGACCAGAGACCAGACCCGAGACCCAAGACCAAGACCCAAGACAGACCAAGACCCGAGACCAGACCCAGACCAGACCCAAGACCAGACCCAAGACCCAAGACCAGACCCCCAAGACCAGACCCGAGACCAAGACCAAGACCAAGACCAGACCCAAGACCAAGACCAAGACCAGACCCAAGACCAGACCCAAGACCCAAGACCCAAGACCCCCGAAGACCAGACCCAGACCCAAGACCCAGACCCGAGACCAGACCCAAGACCAGACCCAAGACCCCGACCCGACCAGACCCAAGACCAGACCCAAGACCCAGACCCGACCAGACCAGACCCAAAAGACCCAAGACCAGACCAGACCCAGACCAGACCCAAGACCAGACCCAAGACCCGACCCGAGACCAAACCCAGACCCAAGACCCAAGACCCAAGACCCGAGACCCAGACCAGACCCAAGACCAAGACCCAAGACCCAGACCCAAGACCAGACCCAAGACCACCCAAGACCCAAGACCCCCAGACCAAGACCCGAAGACCCAAGACCAGACCCAAGACCAAGACCCAAGACCCGACCAGACCAGACCCAGACCAGACCCAAGACCAGACCCAAGACCCGAGACCAGACCCAAGACCGACCAGACCCGAAGACCAGACCAAGACCCAAGACCCAAGACCAGACCCAAGACCCCCAAGACCCAGACCCAAGACCCGACCCAGACCAGACCCAAGACCCAAGACCAGACCCGAGACCAGACCAGACCCAAGACCCAAGACCCAAGACCAGACCCGAAGACCCGAAGACCCGAGACCCAAGACCCAAGACCCAGACCAGACCCAGAGACCCAGAGACCCAAGACCCGAGACCCAAGACCCAAGACCAGACCCAAGACCCCGACCCACCCAAGACCACCCGACCCAAGACCCCCAAGACCAAGACCAGACCCGAGACCAGACCCAAGACCCGACCCCGAGACCCGACCCAAGACCCGAGACCCGAGACCCAAGACCCAAGACCCGAACCAGACCCAAGACCCGAGACCAGACCCAAGACCCGAGACCAGACCCGAGACCAGAGACCCAGACCCAAGACCCAAGACCCGAGACCCGACCAAGACCAGACCCGAGACCAGACCCAAGACCAGACCCAAGACCCCAAGACCAGAGACCCCGAAGAGACCCAAGACCCAAGACCCGAGACCAGACCCAAGACCCAGACCAGACCCAAGACCCAAGACCAGACCCAAGACCAGACCCAAGACCAGAGACCCGACCCAAGACCCGACCCGAGACCAGACCCAAGACCCGACCCAAGACCCGAGACCAGACCCAAGACCAGACCCAAGACCAGACCCAAGACCAGACCCAAGACCCAAGACCCAAGACCAGAGACCAGACCCAAGACCCAAGACCCGAGACCAGACCCAAGACCCAGACCCAAGACCCGAGACCAGACCCCAAGACCCAAGACCCGAGACCCAGACCAGACCCCAAGACCCGACCCGAGACCAGACCCAAGACCCGAAAGACCAGACCCAAGACCCAAGACCCAGACCAGAGACCCGAGACCCGAGACCCAAGACCAAGACCGAGACCAGACCAAGACCCAAGACCCGAGACCAGACCAAGACCCGAGACCAGACCCGACCCGACCCAAGACCCAAGACCCAAGACCCGACCCGACCCGAACCAGACCCAAGACCCGACCCAAGACCCGAGACCGACCAAGACCAGACCCAGACCCGAGACCAGACCAAGACCCGAGACCAGACCCGAGACCAGACCCAGAGACCAGAGACCAGACCAGAGAGCCCAGACCAGAGACCCAAAGACCAGAGACCCGAAAGACCCGAGACCTGAGTCCTGGTTAGTCCTGGTTTAGAGACCTGGTTTAGTTCTGGTTTAGAAGTTCTGGTTTAGTCCTGGTTTAGTCCTGGTTTAGTCCCTGGTTTAGTCCTGGTTTAGTTCCTGGTTTAGTTCTGGTTTAGTCCTGGTTTAGTTCTGGTTTAGTCCTGTTTAAAGTCACAGTGTGTAACTTTCTCCTTCATGAATCCATGGAAAGAGTTAAAGTTTTATTCTGGAACATTAAAGCCAAAGGAAGAACATTTCCACCCCCAGACACCAGGTCCTCCAGGTCCTCCAGGTCCGACCTGGGTCAGGTCTGTGGAGACGTGAGCTCGTTCAGGCAGGACACAAAACACACGACCAACACAAACACGACACACAGGGACTTACACACAGGGACTTACACACACACAGGGACTTACACACAGGGACTTACACACACAGGGACTTACACACACAGAGGGACTTACACACAGGGACTTACACACACAGGGACACACAGAGTTACACACACTGGGAGTTACACACACTGGGAGTTACACACACTGGGAGTTACACACACAGAGGGACTTGCACACTGGGACTTACACACACAGTTACACACACTGGGACTTACACACACAGAGGGACTTACACACACACAGGGACTTACACACACAGAGGGACTTACACACAGGGATTTACACACACAGGGACACACAGAGTTACACACACTGGGAGTTACACACACTGGGAGTTACACACACTGGGACTTACGCACACAGAGGGACTTGCACACTGGGACTTACACACACAGGGACTTACACACAGAGGGTTACACACAGAGGGACTTACACACACAGGGACTTACACACAGAGGGACTTACACACAGGGGGACTTGCACACAGGGGGACTTGCACACACTGGGACTTACACACACTGGGACTTACACACACTGGGACTTACACACACTGGGACTTGCACACAGGGGGACTTGCACACACACAGGGACTTACACACACAGGGACTTACACACTGGGACTTGCACACAGGGGGATTTACACACAGGGAGTTTCACACAGAGGGTTACACACGGGGTTACACACAGAGGGACTTACACACAGAGGGACTTACACACACAGGGACTTACACACACAGGGACTTACACACTGGGGGACTTACACATACAGGGACTTACACACTGGGACTTGCACACAGGGGGACTTACACAGGGGAACTTACACACAGGGAGTTACACACAGGGAGTTACACACAGAGGGACTTACACACACAGGGACTTACACACAGAGGGACCTACACACACAAGGACTTGCACACTGGGGGACTTACACACTGGGGGACTTACACACAGGGGGACTTACACACAGGGGGACTTACACACACAGAGGGACTTACACACACAGAGGGACTCACACACACAGAGGGACTCACACACACAGAGACTTGCACACAAAGGGACTTACACACACAGGGACCTACACACACAGGGACTTACACACAGAGGGACTTACAAACACAAGGAATTACACACTCTGGGACTTACACACACTGGGACTTGCACACACTGGGACTTACGCACACAGAGGGACTTGCATACAGGGGGACTTGCACACAGGGGGACTTACGCATACAGAGGGACTTACAAACACAGGGAATTACACACACTGGGACTTGCACACACTGGGACTTGCACACACTGGGACTGGGACTTGCACACAGGGGGACTTACGCACACAGAGGGACTTGCACACAGAGGGACTTGCACACAGAGGGACTTGCACACACTGGGACCTGCACACACTGGGACTTACACACACTGGGACTTACACACACACAGGGATTTACACACACAGGGACTTACACACAGAGACTTGCACACAGAGGGACTTACACACAGGGGGCTACACACAGAGGGTTACACATTGGGAGTTACACACACAGGGACTTACACACTGGGAGTTACACACTGGGGCTTTAAAAGTACCTGCTCCCTGTCCCCCCTCTCACAGCAGCTGCTTCCTGTACTAACCCCCCCCCCCCCCCCCCCCACAGCTCCTCCCTCGGCCCCTCAGGCTCCGCCCTCGACCCCTCAGGCCCCGCCCACAGCCCCTGTGGCCCCGCCCTCGGCGCTCTGTCGTGTCACTTCACGTGGGGTCTGACCTTCAGTCGTGCGTCTCTGAACCGAACGAGAGACCATCTCATGGACATCGTCCCTGAAGAGAACACCACCTGGAGGGGGCAGAACTACAACCTGCAGGGCTTCCTCCAGCACAGACTGGGGCGCTCCTCAGAGGCCCTCAGCCTCCTGCGCTCGGCCTCAGAGGCCCTCAGGGGCCCCGGGCTCCTGGTGAACTACAGCGACCTGGCCTGGCTGCACCACGAGAGGGGAGAGCACGAGCAGAGCCAGGAGTACCTGAGCAGAGTGGAGGTGCTCAGGATAGAGTACCCCACAGAGGGGGAGCACCCCGAGGTGCTGGCGGAGAAGGCCTGGACCCTGACGAAGTTCGGGTGTCAGCAGAAGTTTGAGGCGGCGTTGGAGGCAGAGCCAGAGCGCGTGGAGTGGAGGAGCTCTCAGGTCATCGCCCTCACGAGCGCCCAAAAACACGACCCCGACCCCCCGGACGCTCAGCTGCTGCAGAGGGTGCAGAGGGCCCACGAGGACGACCCGGAGAACCTGTACCTGCTGCACCTGAGCCTCAGGCAGCGCTGTGGGGACGATGTGCTGGACGACGTCTCTGAGCTGGAGGACAGGATCATGGTCAGAGCCAACAGCAGCTTCAGTGGACTCAAGGCCGTGCTGCACATTTACCGAAACATCAACCACCCGAACGGCGCCATCAAGTGGGCGGAGAAGGCGCTGGACAATCACCCCGACAGCCGCTACGTCAAACGCTGCGTCGTGGAGGGTCCTGTTCCGAAAAGATGGAGCGTCACAGCGCCACCTGCTGGACAGAGCCATAAGTCTGTATGAGGAGGTGCTGGGTCTGTACCCAGACATTCCTCTGGTCAAGGAGATAGATCTGGCAGATCTTTACAGTAGGACCGAGAGAAGCAGAGCTGAGGAGATGTACAAAAGACTCCTGCAGAGGAACATGGAGCCTCCAGAGGCTCAGATGCTCTACAACCGCTACGCCAAATACTTAAAGTACACGTAGCAGGACGTCTACAAGGCCATCAAATACCATAAGAAAGCTGCACAAATCGACCACGATTCTTTCTTCAGAGACAACAGCCTCAAAGAGCTTCAGAAACACACCAGACAGAGTCTGGAGTCCATCCTGGAGGAGCTGCAGAGCTTCTCCCTGATGGAGCCTCTGGAGGAGCTGCAGTGTCACTTCACCTGGGAGCTCAAACGCAGCCGCTTCATCCTGTTCTCCCTCAGGGACCGACTGGAGGACCTCGCCCCCGAAGAGAGCGCCACCTGGAGGGGGCAAAACTACAACCTGCAGGGCTTCCTCCAGCACAGACTGGGGCGCTCCTCAGAGGCCCTCAGCTTCCTGCGCTCGGCCTCAGAGGCCCTCAGGGGCCCCGGGCTCCTGGTGAACTACAGCGACCTGGCCTGGCTGCACCACGAGAGGGGAGCGCACGAGCAGAGCCAGGAGTACCTGAGCAGAGTGGAGGCGCTCAGGAGAGAGTACCCCACAGAGGGGGAGCACCCCGAGGTGCTGGCGGAGAAGGCCTTCAGTCTGATGGAGTTTTACAACGACAAGAAGCTCTTGGCAGCCGAGCTGTTGGACGAGGCTCTGAGGCAGCAGCCGGAGAGACGGGAGTGGCTCAGTGCTCAGGCCGTGGTCCTCGTGAGCGCCCACAGACACAGCGACGACGTGGACGAGAAGGTACTCCTCAAGATAAAACGAGCCATGGACAGGGACCCAGAGAACCTGCAGCTGCAGGCGGAGTACCTGAACCTGCGAGTGCAGAAAGAGGAGAGCGAGCAGAGCGCCCACAGAGGGGGGCAGAGCGCCCACAGAGGGGGGCAGAGCGCCCACAGAGGGGAGCAGAGCGCCCACAGAGGGGGGCAGAGCGCCCACAGAGGGGGGCAGAGCGCCCACAGAGGGGGGCAGAGCGCCCACAGAGGGGGGCGGGGCTGGGGCACAGGGGAGGAGCTGAGGGCAGAGGTGTCCGCTCTGGCCTCTCAGCTCCTCCAGAAGCCTCAGACTTTACTCAGAGATATAAAGTGTGTTCTGGAGCTGCAGAGGAGGGCGGGGCGTGTGGACGAGGCCGTGGCGTTGGCGAACGCCGCTCTGAGGAAACGTCCCGACAGTCGGTACCTGAAGGCCTCCCTCGCCGAGTGCCTGAAGTGGCAGCTGGACCAGCAGGGGGAACGTGCGAGTCAGGAGCTGATGGAGCAGGCGGCGGAGCTGCTGGGGGAGGTGGCCTCTCTGTACCCGGAGTCCTGCCTCAGAACTGAGTTGGACCGAGCAAACGTCTACGCCAAGTCCAACCGCGGCCTGGCACAGGCCCAGCGCCTGTACCAGGACCTGCTCCTGCGGGACCTGGAGACCGTGTCCAGACAGATGGTGCTCAACCAGTACGCCAAGTTTCTGAAACATGAGCGACACGATTATGTGAAGTCCATGGAGTACCACATGAGGGCGGCAGAGATCCCCTCGCCCTCCTTCTACAGAACCAACAGTATCACAGTTTTACGCAGACTCAGCCCCAGAGACGAGCGTCTGCGCAGACGACTCCAACTCTTCCTCAGGGACCTCCAGGACTCATGAAGCTCCTTCACTTTGAAGAACATGACAATCTGACAATCTTTACTTTGAGCTTTTACCCGCGTCACACTGTGTGCCTGGAGTCGTTTTGTTTTTCTGTTTGACGCTTGTTTCATTAAATCCAAAATCTCTCTGAGCCTCAAACGCCTCCTTCTCATTTTGTCCATTTAGTTTTGTCACAGATAAAAACTGCGCAGGAGCTCGAGGTTTAATCAGGATGGACGCAGTCGGATTCAGGGTTTAGTTTAGACTCATGATTCAAAGGCCAAGAACAGGAAGTGACAAATAAGGACAAAGGGACAAAGGGTCAAAGGGACAAAGGGACATTTGGAGATTCAGATTTGTCACAGATTTATTCTGGTGATAAAAGAGGAACTCAGATAAACACAAAAACACGAGCTCAACACAACAACAGAACAACAACAACAACAGAACAACACAACAACAGAACAACACAACAACAACACAACAGAACAACACAACAACAGAACAACACAACAACAACACAACAGAACAACACAACAACAACAACACACAACACAACACAACAGAACACAACACACAGAGAAGAGTTTCCTGGTCACACACAGACACACTGGAGACCTTGTGTTTTGTTTCTTTCACAAACCTGCACATGTGGAGTCCTGAGCTCTTCTCTCAAACTGAAAACACTCTGTTCCACCTTGTGATGTCATCATGTGGTGATACAGGAAGTGCTCCACTGTGAGTGGAATGGTGTGAAATGATAAACTGCCGCTGGAGTCGCAGTAAAAACATTTTTATTAGATTTTATTTTCTTAGAAGTTGCAGAGTGCGACGGCTTCACAGTCGACAGTGACTTCGGTTAAAAATCCTCAGTTTTATTTGTTCCATTTCATGAGTTTTGAAAGTTAAATTTAAAATAATTAAAAACATTTGCGATAAAAAGTTCAGTCCTCGTCCGGATCGTCAAAGGCCACTCCCGTCGCCTCCCGTTTCCTGAAAATACAAAGAACGAAAACAAGTGAAGAAACGAGGAGGAGAGCGACAGAACGGAGTCTGGAAAAGAAGAGATTAAAGATTCTTCAAACAGCAATCAGTCCAAATAAACTTCAGAGTCAGAGAAGAAACGACGAGAACGTGGAGAAACATCTGAGGAGAAGAGTTTGGAGAAACATCTGAGAACAAACAGAACGAAACACGAACGGAACACGAACGGAACAAACGAAACACGAACGAAACACGAACGAAACAAACGAAACACGAACAAAACAAACGAAACACGAACGAAACAAACAAAACAAACAAAAACAAAACACGAAAGAAACACGAACGAAACACGAACGAAACAAACAAAACACGAACGAAACAAACAAAACATGAACGAAACAAACGAAACACGAACGAAACAAACGAAACACGAACGAAACAAACAAAACATGAACGAAACACGAACGAAACAAACAAAACATGAACGAAACACGAACGAAACACGAACGAAACAAACAAAACATGAACGAAACACGAACGAAACACGAACGAAACAAACGAAACACGAACGAAACAAACAAAACATGAACGAAACAAACGAAACACGAACGAAACACAAACGACTGACAGTTTTTGTGCTGGTTTGTGTTTGACAAGCGACTTCACACAGAATCAAACACACACACAGACCCGACACACACACACACAGACACACACACAAACACACACAACACCCGACACACACACAGACACACACACACACACACACACACACAGACCCGACACACACACAGACACACACACACAGACACACACACACACAGACACACACACACACACACACGACACACACACACACAGACACACACACACACACAGACACACACACACACACACACAGACACACACACACACACACACACACACACACACACAGACACACACACACACACACACAGACACACAACACACACACAGACACACACACACACACACACACACACACACACAGACACACACACACACAGACACACACACACACACACAGACACACACACACACACACACACACTCACACAGACACACACACACACACAGACACACACACACACACACACACACACACACACACACACACAGACACACACACACACACAGACACACAGACACACACACACACACACACACACACACACACACACACACACACACACACACACACACTCACACAGACACACACAGACACACTCACACAGACACACACAGACACACACACACACACAGACACACACACACACACACAAACACACACACCTCTTGGTTCCTGGGTTGATGAGGGAGGATCCTGGGAGTCTTTTCTTGGTTGGGGTGAGGGAGGAGCTGTTCTGCTGCCGCGGCTCAAACTCTACACAAACAAAACATAAGCACAAAACAACCAGGACACACAGTGTGTCTGTGTGTGTGTGTGTCTGTGTGTGTGTGTCAGGTGTTGTGTGTGTCGGGGGTTGTGTGTGTCGGGGGTTGTGTGTGTCGGGGTTTGTGTGTGTCGGGGGTTGTGTGTGTCAGGGTCTGTGTGTGTCGGGGGTTGTGTGTGTCAGGTCTGTGTGTGTCAGGTCTGTGTGTGTCGGGGGTTGTGTGTGTCAGGTCTGTGTGTGTCGGGTGTTGTGTGTGTCAGGACTGTGTGTGTCGGGGGTTGTGTGTGTCAGGTGTGTGTGTCGGGGGTGTGTGTGTCAGGTGTGTCAGGTCTGTGTGTGTCGGTGTGTGTTGTGTGTGTGTGTGTGTGTGTGGTCTGTGTGTGTCAGGTCTGTGTGTGTGTGTGTGTGTCGGGGGTTGTGTGTGTCAGGGGGTGTGTCAGGTCTGTGTGTGTCAGGTCTGTGTGTGTCAGTGTGTGTGTGTCAGGGGGTGTGTGTGTCAGGTCTGTGTGTGTCAGGTCTGTGGTGTGTCAGGTCTGTGTGTGTGTGTGTGTGGTGTGTCGGGGTTGTGTGTGTCAGGTCTGTGTCAGGTCTGTGTGTGTCAGGTCTGTGTGTGTCGGGGTTGTGTGTGTCAGGGGTTGTGTGTGTCGGGGGTTGTGTGTGTAAGTTCTGTGTGTGTCAGGGGTTGTGTGTAATAGGTCTGTGTGTGTAAGTTCTGTGTGTGTCAGGTCTGTGTGTGTCAGGTCTGTGTGTGTCGGGGGTTGTGTGTGTCAGGTCTGTGTGTGTCGGGGGTTGTGTGTGTCGGGGGTTGTGTGTGTCAGGTCTGTGTGTGTCGGGGGTTGTGTGTGTCAGGTCTGTGTGTGTCAGGTGTGTGTCGGGTGGTTGTGTGTGTCGGGGTGTGTGTGTCAGTCTGTGTGTGTCGGGGTTGTGTGTGTCAGGTCTGGTGTGTGTCAGGTCTGTGTGTGTCGGGGGTTGTGTGTGTGTGTCAGGTCTGTGTGTGTCGGGGGTGTTGTGTGTGTCAGGTCTGTGTGTGTGTCGGGGGTTGTGTGTGTCAGGTCTGTGTGTGTGTCGGGGGTTGTGTGTGTCAGGTCTGTGTGTGTCTCTGTGTGTGTGGGTTGTGTGTGTCAGGTCTGTGTGTGTCGGGGGTTGTGTGTGTCAGGTCTGTGTGTGTCGGGGTGTGTGTCAGTTGTGTGTGTGTCAGGTCTGTGTGTGTCGGGGGTTGTGTGTGTCAGGTCTGTGTGTGTCGGGTGTTGTGTGTGTCAGGACTGTGTGTGTCGGGGTTTGTGTGTCAGGTCTGTGTGTGTCGGGGTTGTGTGTGTCAGGTCTGTGTGTGTCGGGGTTTGTGTGTGTCAGGTCTGTGTGTGTCGGGGGTTGTGTGTGTCGGGGTTGTGTGTGTGTGTCAGGTCTGTGTGTGTCAGGTCTGTGTGTGTCGGTCAGGTGTGTGTGTGTGTGTCGGGGGTTGTGTGTGTCGGGGTTTGTGTGTGTCAGGTCTGTGTGTGTCAGGTCTGTGTGTGTCAGGTCTGTGTGTGTCGGAGGTTGTATCAGGTCTGTGTGTGTTAGGTCTGTGTGTGTCAGGTTGTGTGTGTCAGGTCTGTGTGTGTTAGTCGTGGTGTGGTGTGTGTGTCAGTTCTGTGTGTGTTGTGTGTGTCGGGGTTGTGTGTGTCGGGGGTGTGTGTCGGGGGTTGTGTGTGTCAGGTCTGTGTGTGTCAGGTCTGTGTGTGTCGGGGGTTGTGTGTGTCAGGGGTTGTGTGTGTCGGGGGTTGTGTGTGTAAGTTCTGTGTGTGTCAGGGGTTGTGTGTAATAGGTCTGTGTGTGTAAGTTCTGTGTGTGTCAGGTCTGTGTGTGTCAGGTCTGTGTGTGTCAGGTCTGTGTGTGTCGGGGGTTGTGTGTGTCAGGTGTGTCTGTGTGTGTCGGGGTGTGTGTGTGTGTGTCGGGGGTGTGTGTGGTGTCAGGTCTGTGTGTCGGGGTGTTGTGTGTGTGTCAGGTCTGTGTGTGTCAGGTCTGTGTGTGTGGGGGTTGTGTGTGTCAGGTCTGTGTGTGTCGGGTGTGTGTGTGTGTGTGTCAGGTCTGTGTGTGTGTGTCGGGGGTTGTGTGTGTCAGGTCTGTGTGTGTCAGGTCTGTGTGTGTCGGGGGTTGTGTGTGTCAGGTCTGTGTGTGTCGGGTGTGTGTGTGTCAGGTCTGTGTGTGTCGGGGTTGTGTGTGTCAGGTCTGTGTGTGTCGGGGGTTGTGTGTGTCAGGTCTGTGTGTGTCGGGTGGTCGTCTGTGTGTGTCGGGTGTGTGTGTTGTGTGTGTCAGGTCTGTGTGTGTCGGTCGGGTTGTGTGTGTCAGGTCTGTGTGTGTCGGGGGTTGTTGTGTGTCAGGTCTGTGTGTGTCAGGTCTGTGTGTGTGTCGGGGGTTGTGTGTGTCAGGTCGGTGTGTGTCGTTGTTGTGTGTGTCAGGTCTGTGTGTGTCGGGGTTGTGTGTGTCAGGTCTGTGTGTGGGTGTGTGTGGTGTGTCAGGTCTGTGTGTGTCGGGGGTTGTGTGTGTCAGGTCTGTGTGTGTCGGGGGTTGTGTGTGTCAGGTCTGTGTGTGTCAGGTCTGTGTGTGTCAGGTCTGTGTGTGTGTCAGGTCTGTGTGTGTCGGGGGTTGTGTGTGTCGTGTGGTGTGTCAGGTCTGTGTGTGTCAGGTCTGTGTGTGTCGGAGGTTGTATGTGTCAGGTCTGTGTGTGTTAGGTCTGTGTGTGTCAGGTCTGTGTGTGTCAGTTCTGTGTGTGTTGGGGTTGTGTGTGTCGGGGTTGTGTGTGTCGGGGTTGTGTGTGTCGGGGGTTGTGTGTGTCAGGTCTGTGTGTGTCAGGTCTGTGTGTGTCGGGGGTTGTGTGTGTCAGGGGTTGTGTGTGTCGGGGGTTGTGTGTGTAAGTTCTGTGTGTGTCAGGGGTTGTGTGTAATAGGTCTGTGTGTGTAAGTTCTGTGTGTGTGTCAGGTCTGTGTGTGTCAGGTCTGTGTGTGTCAGTGTCAGTTGTGTGTGTCGGGTTGTGTGTGTCAGGTCTGTGTGTGTCGGGGTTGTGTGTGTCGGGGGTTGTGTGTGTCAGGTCTGTGTGTGTGTCGGGGTTTGTGGTGTGTCAGGTCTGTGTGTGTCAGGTCTGTGTGGTCTGTGTGGGGTTGTGTGTGTCGGGGTTGTGTGTGTCAGGTCTGTGTGTGTCGGGGGTTGTGTGTGTCAGGGTCTGTGTGTGTCAGGTGTTGTGTGTCAGGTCTGTGTGTGTCGGGGGTTGTGTGTGTGTGTGTCAGGTCTGTGTGTGTCGGGTGTGTGTGTGTCAGGTCTGTGTGTGTCGGGGGGTTGTGTGTTGTCAGGTCTGTGTGTGTCAGGTCTGTGTGTGTCGGGGGTGTGTGTGTCAGGTGTGTGTGTGTCAGGTCGTGTGTGTGTGTGTCAGGTCTGTGTGTGTCGGGGGTTGTGTGTGTCAGGTCTGTGTGTGTCGGGGTGTGTGTGTGTGTCTGTGTGTGTGTCAGGTCTGTGTGTGTCGGGGTGTGTGTGTGTGTGTCAGGTCTGTGTGTGTCGGGGGTTGTGTGTGTCAGGTCTGTGTGTGTCAGGTCTTGTGTGTGTCAGGTCTGTGTGTGTCGGTGTGGTGTGTGTGTGTGTGTGTGTCAGGTCTGTGTGTGTCGGGGGTTGTGTGTGTCAGGTCTGTGTGTGTCGGGGGTTGTGTGTGTCAGGTCTGTGTGTGTCGGGGGTTGTGTGTGTCAGGTCTGTGTGTGTCAGGTCTGTGTGTGTCGGGGGTTTTACCTGCAGCTCGTCTCTGGTGGTTCTTGTTCGGACTCGGGGTTAAAACGGCTCCTGAAACAAAACGAACTTCAGGTCAAACTTTGATTTGGTCTGAGTCCTGGTCCGAGTCCTAGGTCTAACCAAGTCCCGGTCTGGGTCCCAGTCTGGGTCCCTGGTCTGGGTCCCGGTCTGGATCCAGGTCCCGGTCTGGGTCTTTACCGTCTGCGCTGTGAGCGAGGCTGTCGGCCATCTTGAACAGGAGCTGCTTCACTTCCTGTTTGGCGGCGGCGGCGGCCATCTTGGTGAGGTCCAGGACAGCGGGACTGGAACCGGAGACCGACCGAAACCGGGCGAGATCCTCCAGGACCTCAACACACACGAGTCCAGAGCTGAGGAGAGACCAGGAACTGAACCAGGACTACACCAGGACTAAACCAGGACTGAACCAGGACTAAACCAGGACTGAACCAGGACTACACCAGGACTGAACCAGGACTAAACCAGGACTAAACCAGGACTACACCAGGACTACACCAGGACTAAACCAGGACTACACCAGGACTACACCAGGACTAAACCAGGACTAAACCAGGACTAAACCAGGACTGAACCAGGACTACACCAGGACTAAACCAGGACTGAACCAGGACTGAACCAGGACTAAACCAGGACTAAACCAGGACTGAGGACTGAACCAGGACTGAACCAGGACTGAACCAGGACTAAACCAGGACTAAACCAGGGCTACACCAGGACTGAATCAGGACTAAACCAGGACTAAAGGACTGAACAGGACTAAACCAGGACTAAACCAGGACTGAACCAGGACTGAACCAGGACTAAACCAGAACTAAACCAGGACTGAACCAGGACTGAACCAGGTCTATTTTAGGTAAATGTAAAACTGAGACAGACCTGAGTTTTTGACAGAGTTCTTGGGGAGATTTCAGGGACACATTCTGAGTCTGAAACAAAAAACAAAAATATTTTTACAAAAAACTCAAAATGTGACGATAATTTATAAAAAAATGTTTTTAAATCCGACCAAAACTCACAAACGTCTGCAGATCCTCGTCCGAAAAGTCCGCGGCCCAAACGTCTGCGGCGTCCGTCACACTACAACAACAACAACAAAGTGTGTCAGGGGCCCTCTCGTCCTATGTGTGTCAGGGGCCCTCCCATCCTCCTGTGTGTGTCAGGGGCCCTCCCATCCTCCTGTGTGTGTCAGGGGCCCTCCCATCCTCCTGTGTGTGTCAGGGGCCCTCCCATCCTCCTGTGTGTGTCAGGGGCCCTCCCATCCTCCTGTGTGTGTCAGGGGCCCTCGTTGTTGTGTACTTGTTGTACAGTTGTTGTGTTGTAGTTGTTGTTGTGTAGTTGTGTTGTTGTACAGTAGTTGTTGTTCTGTAGTTGTTGTACAGTAGTTGTGTTGTTGTACAGTAGTTGTGTTGTACAGTGTTGTGTTGTTGTTCAGTAGTTGTTGTACAGTAGTTGTGTTGTTGTACAGTAGTTGTGTTTGTTTGTTCTGTTGTAGTTGTTGTACAGTAGTTGTTGTGTTGTTGTACAGTTGTTGTGTTGTTGTTGTACAGTAGTTGTGTTGTTGTTTGTAGTGTTGTGTTGTTGTACAGTAGTTGTGTTGTTCTGTAGTTGTTGTACAGTAGTTGTGTTGTTGTTCTGTAGTTGTTGTACAGTAGTTGTTGTACAGTAGTTGTGTTGTTGTACAGTAGTTGTGTTGTTGTTCTGTAGTTGTTGTACAGTAGTTGTGTTGTTGTACAGTAGTTGTGTTGTTGTTCTGTAGTTGTTGTACAGTAGTTGTGTTGTTGTGCAGTAGTGGTGTTGTTGTACAGTAGTGGTGTTGTTGTAAAGTAGTTGTGTTGTTGTACAGTAGTTGTGTTGTTGTTCTGTAGTTGTGTTGTTGTACAGTAGTTGTGTTGTTGTTCTGTAGTTGTTGTACAGTAGTTGTGTTGTTGTACAGTAGTTGTGTTGTTGTACAGTAGTTGTTTTTGTACAGTTGTGTTGTTGTTGTTGTTTGTACAGTAGTTGTGTTGTTGTACAGTAGTTGTGTTGTTGTACAGTAGTTGTGTTGTTGTTCTGTAGTTGTTGTACAGTAGTTGTAGTACAGTAGTTGTGTTGTTGTACAGTAGTTGTGTTGTTGTACAGTAGTTGTGTTGTTGTTCTGTAGTTGTGTTGTTGTACAGTAGTTGTGTTGTTGTACAGTAGTTGTGTTGTTGTTCTGTAGTTGTTGTACAGTAGTTGTGTTGTTGTTCTGTAGTTGTTGTACAGTAGTTGTTGTACAATAGTTGTGTTGTTATACAGTAGTTGTGTTGTTGTACAGTAGTTGTGTTGTTGTACAGTAGTTGTGTTGTTGTTCTGTAGTTGTTGTACAGTAGTTGTTGTACAGTAGTTGTGTTGTTGTTCTGTAGTTGTTGTACAGTAGTTGTGTTGTTGTACAGTAGTTGTTGTTGTTACAGTAGTTGTGTTGTTGTACAGTAGTTGTGTTGTTGTACAGTAGTTGTGTTGTTGTACAGTAGTTGTGTTGTTGTTCTGTAGTTGTTGTACAGTAGTTGTGTTGTTGTACAGTAGTTGTGTTGTTGTACAGTTGTTGTAGTTGTTGTAGTTGTTGTTACAGTAGTTGTGTTGTTGTTTTGTAGTTGTTGTACAGTAGTTGTGTTGTTGTACAGTTGTTGTGTTGTTGTTCTGTAGTTGTTGTACAGTAGTTGTGTTGTTGTACAGTAGTTGTGTTGTTCTGTAGTTGTTGTACAGTTGTTGTGTTGTTGTACAGTTGTTGTGTTGTTGTACAGTAGTTGTGTTGTTGTACAGTAGTTGTGTTGTTGTACAGTTGTTGTGTTGTTGTACAGTTGTTGTGTTGTTGTACAGTAGTTGTTGTTTGTTGTTGTTGTGTTGTTGTACAGTAGTTGTGTTGTTGTGTTGTTGTGTTGTTGTGTTAGTTGTTGTTGTACAGTAGTTGTGTTGTTGTACAGTAGTTGTGTTGTTGTTCTGTAGTTGTTGTACAGTAGTTGTGTTGTTGTTCTGTAGTTGTTGTACAGTAGTTGTTGTACAATAGTTGTGTTGTTATACAGTAGTTGTGTTGTTGTACAGTTGTTGTGTTGTTGTACAGTAGTTGTGTTGTTGTTCTGTAGTTGTTGTACAGTAGTTGTGTTGTTGTTCTGTAGTTGTTGTACAGTAGTTGTGTTGTTGTACAGTAGTTGTGTTGTTGTACAGTAGTTGTGTTGTTGTACAGTAGTTGTGTTGTTGTTCTGTAGTTGTTGTGTTTGTTCAGTGTTGTTGTACAGTAGTTGTGTTGTTGTACAGTAGTTGTGTTGTTCTGTAGTTGTTGTACAGTAGTTGTTGTGTTGTGTACAGTAGTTGTTTGTTGTACAGTTTGTGTTGTTGTACAGTAGTTGTGTTGTTGTACAGTAGTTGTGTTGTTGTGTTGTTGTTGTACAGTAGTTGTTGTACAGTAGTGTTTGTTGTTGTACAGTAGTTGTGTTGTTGTACAGTTGTTGTGTTGTTGTCAGTTGTTGTTGTTGTTCTGTAGTTGTTGTACAGTAGTTGTGTTGTTGTTTGTTGTTACAGTAGTTGTGTTGTTGTTGTACAGTAGTTGTGTTGTTGTTACAGTAGTTGTGTTGTTGTACAGTAGTTGTGTTGTTGTAAGTTGTGTTGTTGTACAGTAGTTGTGTTGTTGTACAGTAGTTGTGTTGTTGTACAGTAGTTGTGTTGTTGTACAGTTGTTGTACAGTAGTTGTGTTGTTGTTTGTCAGTAGTTGTGTTGTTGTTGTAGTTGTTGTACAGTAGTTTGTGTGTGTGTGTTGTTGTACAGTAGTTGTGTTGTTGTACAGTAGTTGTGTTGTTGTACAGTAGTTGTGTTGTTGTTCTGTAGTTGTGTTGTTGTACAGTAGTTGTGTTGTTGTTCTGTAGTTGTTGTACAGTAGTTGTGTTGTTGTACAGTAGTTGTGTTGTTGTACAGTAGTTGTGTTGTTGTACAGTAGTTGTGTTGTTGTTCTGTAGTTGTTGTACAGTAGTTGTGTTGTTGTTACAGTAGTTGTTTGTTGTACAGTAGTTGTGTTGTTCTGTAGTTGTTGTAGTTGTACAGTAGTTGTGTTGTTGTACAGTAGTTGTGTTGTTGTGTACAGTAGTTGTTGTTGTTGTTGTGTTGTACAGTAGTTGTTGTGTTGTTGTACAGTAGTTGTGTTGTTGTACAGTAGTTGTGTGTTGTTCTGTAGTTGTTGTACAGTAGTTGTGTTGTTGTTCTGTAGTTGTTGTACAGTAGTTGTGTTGTTGTACAGTAGTTGTGTTGTTGTACAGTAGTTGTGTTGTTGTACAGTAGTGTTTGTTGTTGTTGTACAGTAGTTGTGTTGTTGTTGTTCTGTAGTTGTGTTGTTGTACAGTAGTTGTTGTACAGTAGTTGTGTTGTGTGTAGTGTTGTACAGTAGTTGTTGTTGTTGTTACAGTAGTTGTTGTTGTACAGTAGTTGTGTTGTTGTACAGTAGTTGTGTTGTTGTACAGTAGTTGTGTTGTTGTTGTACAGTAGTTGTTGTACAGTAGTTGTGTTGTTGTACAGTAGTTGTGTTGTTGTACAGTAGTTGTGTTGTTGTTACAGTAGTTGTGTGTGTTGTTGTACAGTAGTTGTGTTGTTGTTTGTAGTTGTTGTACAGTAGTTGTGTTGTTGTACAGTTGTTGTGTGTTGTTCTGTAGTTGTTGTACAGTAGTTGTGTTGTTGTACAGTAGTTGTGTTGTTGTTCTGTAGTTGTTGTACAGTAGTTGTGTTGTTGTACAGTTTTGTGTTGTTGTACAGTAGTTGTGTTGTTGTACAGTGTTGTGTTGTTGTACAGTTGTGTGTTGTACAGTAGTGTTGTTGTTGTACAGTTGTTGTTTGTTGTACAGTAGTTGTGTTGTTGTACAGTAGTTGTGTTGTTGTACAGTTGTGTGTGTTGTACAGTAGTTGTGTTGTGTTCTGTAGTTGTTGTACAGTAGTTGTGTTGTTGTTGTAGTTGTTGTACAGTAGTTGTTGTACAGTTGTGTTGTTATACAGTAGTTGTGTTGTTGTACAGTAGTTGTGTTGTTGTTACAGTAGTTGTGTTGTTGTTCTGTAGTTGTTGTACAGTAGTTGTGTGTGTTGTTCTGTAGTTGTTGTACAGTAGTTGTGTTGTTGTTACAGTAGTTGTGTGTTGTAGTGTACAGTAGTTGTGTTGTTGTACAGTAGTTGTGTTGTTGTGTAGTTGTGTTGTTGTACAGTAGTTGTGTTGTTGTACAGTAGTTGTGTTGTTGTACAGTAGTTGTTGTACAGTAGTTGTGTTGTTGTACAGTAGTTGTGTTGTTGTTCTGTAGTTGTTGTACAGTAGTTGTGTTGTTGTAGTAGTTGTACAGTAGTTGTGTTGTTGTACAGTAGTTGTTGTGTTGTTGTTCTGTAGTTGTTGTACAGTAGTTGTGTTGTTGTACAGTAGTTGTGTTTTTTGTAGTGTTGTACAGTGTTGTGTTGTTGTACAGTAGTGTGTTGTTGTTACAGTAGTTGTGTTGTTGTACAGTTGTTGTGTGTTGTACAGTAGTTGTGTTGTTGTACAGTAGTAGTTGTGTTGTTGTGTACAGTAGTTGTTGTACAGTAGTTGTGTTGTTGTACAGTAGTTGTGTTGTTGTTGTTGTACAGTAGTTGTGTTGTTGTACAGTTGTTGTGTTGTTTGTACAGTAGTTGTGTACAGTAGTTGTTGTACAGTAGTTGTGTTGTTATACAGTAGTTGTTGTACAGTAGTTGTGTTGTTGTACAGTAGTTGTGTTGTTGTACAGTAGTTGTTGTACAGTAGTTGTGTGTTGTTGTACAGTAGTTGGTTGTTGTACAGTAGTTGTGTTGTTGTTGTAGTTGTGTGTTGTGTTGTACAGTAGTTGTGTGTTGTTGTAGTTGTTGTACAGTAGTTGTTGTACAGTTGTTGTGTTGTTGTACAGTAGTTGTGTTGTTGTACAGTAGTTGTGTTGTTGTACAGTAGTTGTGTTGTTGTACAGTTGTTGTGTTGTTGTGTATTTGTTGTTCACCTGATTCTGAAGTCTCCGTGTTTGTTCCTCGTGCAGCAGAACACGAACCTGAACCCGGAGCTTTGGTCCGACACCGAACCGAACCGAACCCACTCCATCCGACCCACACTCCACACTGCACCGGCCCCTGCTGCAGACCGGTTCAGTCCCGGTTTAGTCAGACCCGGTTCAGACCCGGTTCAGTCCCGGTTCAGTCCCGGTTTAGTCCCGGTTTAGACCCGGTTTAGTCTCGGTTTTTAGACCTGGTTTAGACCCGGTTTAGTTCTGGTTTAGTCCTGGTTTAGTCCTGGTTTAGACCTGGTTT